AGATCTTGTACTTGGGTCGTGAGATTTCCGCGGAGAGATTGAAGCCCGATGACGCGAAGGTGGCCAGCATTCGTGACTGGCCTCGTCCTCAGTCTGTGACTGAGATGAGGTTCTTCTTAGGGATGACAAGCTACTACCGCAATTTTGTCAAGAACTATAGCATAGTGGCCGCCCCTTTGACGGACCTGACACGCCTTGACACACCATGGGAGTGGACAAACAGGTGTGAAGCTGCTTGCAGACATCTGAAGCATGCCGTCACTTATCATGAGGTCTTGAAACTGCTCCATCCTAACAAGCCATTTGGTGTGACCACGAATGCCAGCCAATATGGCATTGGTGTCATTCTTGCGCAGCAGGAGGGGAAAAAGTTAAGGCCGGTAGAGTACATGGCCAAAAAGATCCCCTCTCAGAAGTTGGCTAAGTCTACCTATGCGAAGGAACTCTACATGATCTACAAAGCGTTGACTCACCGGAGGCATGACCTCCTTGGTCGCTTCTTCTACGTCAGGACTGATCATCAAACCCTGAGATGGATGAAGACTTAACTGGTACTCTCCGATGCCCTGAAGCGATGGATTGAAGTCATAGAGCAATATGACTTTGAGCCCCAGTACATCAAGGAGGAGTACAATAAGGTTGCTGATGCGCTGTCGCGTAGGCCAGACTTTCTCAGTGCACTGATCACTGAGTTTGGGCTTGCAGACGATGTTACTCAATCCTTGGTTGAAGCCTATCGAGAGGATCTGTTCATGTCAAAGATCATACGCAGACTCGAGGCAAAGGATAAAGCAACGTCTGACGAGTTTGAGTTGATCAATGGACTGTTGTTCCTTGAGAAGGTCGGGAATAAACGTTTGCGTGTTCCAAATCGGGAGTCTTTGCGTAGTTTATTTTTAGGCGAGTGTCATGATGCCACCGGACATTTTGGTTTTAAAAAGACAACAATAAATCTATTGCGGCGTTTCTGGTGGCCCACGATGATGAAAGATGCCAAGCTGTACGTGGATACTTGTCAGGTTTGTTAGAGGGACAAGCCACGCACACAGGGCCCTCTTGGGCTCCTCAAGCCCCTTCCGATTCCGGAAAGCCCCGGTGAGAGCCTGTCCATGGACTTCATGGACACGCTGGTTACCAGCAAGAGTGGAATGAGACACATCTTTGTCATTGTGGACAGGTTTAGGGAGTACGCTAGGTTAGTTGCAATGCCTCAAACAGGAAAAACCGAGTACGTGATCAGATTATTCAAGGAAAACTGGGTAAGAGACTTCAGACTGCCGAAGTCTATTGTTAGTGACCGGGATGTTCGATTTACGAGAGAGTTGTGGAAGGCTGCAGCTGCAGAACAAGGCACGCAGCTACAGATGACCTCCGGGAACCACCCAGAGGCAAATGGGCAAGCAAAGCAGCTGAATCGCGTTGTACAGCACCTGCTAAGGCACTACATCAAGCCCAATCAGGTGGACTGGGATGCGAAACTTGCTCTCATCGCCAGTCTGTATAACAATGTCGTTCACAGTGCAACAGGGCCGAGCCCCAACAGTTTGCTACTGACTTTTAAACCTAGACTGCCCTTAGATTTTCTACTACCTGAGAATCAGCCTTCTGCTGCACCAGGCACCGTAGAATTCGCTTATCGATATGATCGTCTGATGCAACAAGCTGTAGAACAGATGCACAAGGCACAGGCGGCGATGATAGAATATGAGAACAAACAACGTCGCCCTTCTACCTTTCAGGTAGCGACAAAGTTTGGGTCAAGTCCTCAGAACTGGGACAGGAGCACGGGATCTCCCGCAAGCTCATGCCACAGTACTTTGGACCATGGGAGGTTCTCGATGTTGTCGAGGGTGATCCGGATGGGCCGTCATATGTAATCCGGATCCCAGGTCACCTTCGCGCTTACCCTGTCTTTCACGCCTCTAAACTTGCACCTTTTAGAGAAACTGATCAATTCCCTTCTCGTCGCTCAATGCTGCCCCCAACCATGGATGGAGAGGTCGACATCGATGACATCGTGGATCACAGGGAAATGCCAATTCCAAGACCAACAGGCAGGGGACGTCCTCCAAAGCTGAAGCTGCAATATCGCGTTCGGTTCAGACATCACTCTGATCCTAACGAGGACAGATGGTTTACCCGGGAGGAACTGATGCAGACCGCTCCACAGGCTGTCGCTCACTTTGAGAAGTTACTGCAGAAGGGAAAGCGCCAGATTGAGTAAAGGAACTTCTCAGAGGACTGTCGAAGTATGGAGGAGGGAATGCAAGGCATAAGGCCCCGACGAGCCCCTTTGGTCCCTGTAAGCAGCACTGTCGGCCGCCCTAAGTGAAGGCAGGCCTGACCAAGGCCAAGAGGCCTACTTTTCGGCCACCATGCATCTGGGGAAATTCAGGCAGTTGCACAGCGCCAGTTGGTTAAGAGCGCCCAGGCCCTGGCTGCCTTTTCGTACGTAACCGAGGCAGGCCCTGGGCCGGATACAGAACATGGGCTAAACACAGGCTGCGGGCAGTTGGACACAGGCAACCGTCACAGGCCCTGGGCCTGATTCGTTTGGACCGGGGCTCAGCCTCTCGGGGCCTACCGGAAGCTTCTGGGCAGGGGCCCAGCACAGCCAGGGCACACGCAGCAGGCAGGCCACTTCCATTTAGGAAAGTGCCTTCCCCCGCATTTGGCATTCGGGCATTGGCTGCATGCTGCGCAAGCACTGCTGCGCTAAACGCTGGCCAGCGCTCGCGCGCTCACGGGCGAGCTGGATGAGCAGGCAGCCATAGCCGAGCTGCGCTGCATTATACTGGATGGGGCGCATGGTGGTCCTTGGGTGCATGTGGCATCTGTGAGTGGGGGATCGAGGTTGTGAGTGATACGAGAGACATACCTGGTGCTTGANCGCATGGTGGTCCTTGGGTGCATGTGGCATCTGTGAGTGGGGGATCGAGGTTGTGAGTGATACGAGAGACATACCTGGTGCTTGAGGCGAACGGCATTGGCCGAGATCTGCTCGTACTTCGGGGAGCTGTTGATGTCACCAGCAGCATTGTAGATAGGCTAGATAGGATCTGCCATTTGTAGTCTGGGCACAGAGCGCCAGATAGGATGTCGACATTGGTTCTTTGTTGTTGATGATGATACTATCCCAAAATTGTCACTTGGGAGCTTTTGCTGTGCTCTTATTGGTGAAACTCGTGTTACAATTCTGCTTCTGGTTCGAGGTCACGACTATCTGGTTTCATGTGTATGATGCTGCTTGGTTTTCGGAGTTCGCTATCGCTCATTTTCCTTTTATATTATTTTATTTAAAATGTTATGACCCTCGCCAATTTCGAGATACACATCAACCGGAAAGTACAATGCCATCCAATTGCAAAAAGAAATGAATGAACTTGAGAGGAGAGAGAGAGAGGATTAGAAGAAGAAGAAGAAGTAAGAAAGAAGAAGAAGAAGATGTACACCAGCAAAGACAATGACAAGGCTCTTCGTCTTCGCCCAACAATATCCGCCTCCTTATCTCCCCCTTCTCTTATTCATACAAGAAATAATAATACAATGTTGAATGACTGATCCAGAATCAATGTCCGAGTCCCTCTTCTACTGCAGGTATCACTTAAGGTCCACCATAGCCATGGCCGCCTCTCCCACTCTTCACTCTCATAGGCCGAGGCTATGGCGGACTACTGGGCTCTGCTCAGATGCCCAAAGGACAACCCAAAGCAGCTATGGCTGCTCTAGCTCAGGCCGCCATGCCTGACCCTGCCCCGAAGCTTCTTGGTGTAGCTCTCCCCAGCTGGGGACTCCCTGCTGCAGCGCCCACCAAGGTGATGAAGATGGCTGCCACCATAGCCAGGTAAGTACCCCTGGCGCTCCTCCCCTTTCCTTCCTTCTTCCTCCTTCTTCCTCCCTCGTGTCCTTCTCCTTCCTCCCCAGCAGCGCTGGTCCAGCTTAGCGCTGCTCCAGCCAGCGCTCCACCAGTGTGTCGCCAAACTTGCACACCGAAAAGGAGGCCGGACTCTCCGCCCGGCCAGAAGATATAGCGGCCTGCTTTGCCTCTTGGGCAGTAACTTCCAGGCCGCTCGGCCTCCCAAGCAACCGGTACCTCCCTTTCGGAGGGAAACATCATTGCAGACTCTGATATTGCCCGTTACAGGCCCTAGACCCAGACTGGTTGGACTGATATCCACCTAGACCTACCTACAACTACTGGGCCTCTAAAAATGCCACTTTTGTCTTCTTCTGCTCGGCCTCCGGTACCTGCTCATCTACCCCTTCCAGGTGCGGTACCGGCCTACCCGCTACTTTAGTGTTTTTTCCCCGCTGCAACCCCTCAATGTCACGGCCACAGGTAAGTACCGGCCCTGAGGGCCCAACGAACGAGCATGTGCCCTGACGGGCCACACACATACTCGTGCCAACCAGCACTCAGACAGGCACAGTCACACACACACCCAGGCCAACCAACACTCAGACAGGCATGGTCACACACACACTCAAGCCGTCCAGCACTCAGACAGACATGCAGTCCAGCAAACATGCACACACAGACTTAGTAGCAGGCGGGAAACTCAGCAGGGCATTCAGTCTATGGGCAAAACTCAGAAATCAGCTGTGTGTTTCAGTCCATGTATGGACGGGTCATCACAAAAAAAAACAACAGAACCTTATGGTTCTGGCTCCTTATCCATTCTGGGGAGCATCAGTCCGGTTCCTTTTCCACCGGCAAGTCAGAAGGGAATACAATAAAACTCACTGACCAGTTCAATATTTAAGAAAAAGTGATAAGGAAAAACTTTGAGTCGATTATCCACCTATTACCCAGTGTGATAGAATTCTCAAATACAAAATGTGAACGTCTTGACATTATTTACCAAAATTTGAAATGGATTAAACTAGCTCTCCAAAAATTGGACACCATGTAGACTCGTTCACCAACCAGTAGGGTACCTTTGCGTTTTCATACTTAACAAGGTCGATAACTGCCTTGACTCTTCGATATCTTCTGCCAGGTGCCAGGCTATGAAGCTGGGAACTTTATCGGTCCAACAATTCTTGCGGATGTGACTCCAGACATGAAATGTTACAAGGTAGAAATTTACAGTTCCCATTTCTTTTTTCATTTTTCCCCTTAAAAGAGGGCGACCGCCTTTGGATATGATCATGGAACTGACCGGCCCTAGGTAATCCACAATTGTAGTATTTTAGTATAATTTTACTCATCTGCTTCCAGTGAAGTTCGAGCTCAATTCTGTATTTCAACAGTTCAAGGGTGTACCAACTGAGCTACGCCAGTTGGTACACTTCCCATTTCTTTTTTTTTTCTTTTTTTTTTCTTTTTCTTTTTTTTTTTTTAAACAGGCCCTTACGGTCCTGGCTCCATTTCCATTCTGGGGAGCATCAGTCCGGTTCCTATTCCACCGGCAAGTCAGAATATAAGATTACATCATAATCACCCACGCTTCCTTCCATTCGGCCGAAGGACCCCTGACCAGCATTGATTGCTCCAAAAAATTGGAGGATTAACTGTCAGCTTGCCATTCCTCATCCTTTCCTCTCAGGTGTCCTGCAAAACCTGCCATATATGGCATGACTAAACAAGAAAAATGTAAAAACTGCCATTACTACAAATTGCCTTAAACCCTAAACCCTAGACCCTCGAGAAACTACCACAGGTACCCATTTTACCTATGCCATGCGATTCCTCATGGGATCTTCCAAAAAAATCTGCTGTTCCAAACCGTGTTTGTCCTAAATCTGTCCAAACCCTAAACCCTAGACCCTCAATTATAAGTTTTATTTTGGATAAACATAACATCATCTAGCTTCAATTTTCTCACCCACCCTCTTATCCCTATGGTAATTGTATTTCCTGTGTCACCCCCTGGACCCCCAAAGACGCCTCACCTCTCTCGTCCTTGAACCAATGAAAGGTCAGTCTCTGTCCCTCTATGGTCGCTTCTTTGCCCCTGGCCAATACCTTGTTCTGAAATTTCGTGTAAATAGCCTTCGCGTTTTCCGGGTTAACCAATGCTCGTATTCTCCTTCTCTGCCATTGAGCCCTAATATCTGTTTCCAATAGATTGTATAGTGTTGTTCTGGCTTCCATTCTAGTCATCGAATTTTTGCCAATCACCAGTTGACATCTCCTTTTCCAGATAGTCCATAATGTATACTGTCTCAATAGCGAAAAAATGAAATTTTCACTTTCCTTCCATTTCTTAGGTACTACCTTTCCTATGAGCAACAGTCTTGTGTTCCTTGGAAGGAAAACCTCCGTAGTACGTTCCCAAAGAGTACCAGCCATTTCCCATATATATTCGGCTTTCGAGCATCGAAGCAAGCAATGCATCAGCGTTTCAGGCACTTTCTGAGAGCACATGGTGCAGTCTTGGTTTGTTTCTTCCCTATGCTGTCTACTCCCTTTTTCATATAACCAGACGTTGACTGGGAGTGCCACATGGAATATAAGCCACTGCATACTCCGGACCTTGCCCAATCTGATAGCATGAAGGCTTGACCATGGTATTTTGTCCACCTGTTGTCTTGGTATGCCCACCCTTTTTTCCCATCTTCTCGCCAAAGGCCTATCCATTTGGTACGACCTTCTCCTGAGCCTATACCCCAATTTAGTCATATACTGAAGTATGTTAATTTTCTTGACTAGTCGTGACGCACTTCCCCTGATGTTCCATGCCCATTCTACTGGATCCACCTCCAGATTCTGAATGTTGATCGTTGGGGCATATATTGTGAATTCGTCATTCTCTATAACCCTAACCTTCCTCAAGAGATCCTTCTTGATGGTGATCGGCACTTTGGAGTCCTTATCCAAATGACTCACTGTGGTGCCTAGGGTCAGTATTGTATACATATCCGCTTCCACCCACTGTTTAGCTGGTCCTACTTCTTAACCGATGCGAAAGGCTTGCTGAGGTTCGACACTATGGTACCAAGTTGCCCAGTCACCCCTTCCCCATTTGTATGGACCCCTCAATATCCTCGTCCACTCCTCCGGAATGGAGATTAACATGTTGTTCAGGTTTCTATTAGTCTATGACGCCCCTTCATTTCCTCCCTCAATTCTCTACCTGTTTTCCATCTTCCATTAGTTTCTGACCATAGATGTTTCACTTGCCATACTCCATGCTCCCACCAATTTCCCCACTTAGCATCTCTTACTGTTAGTGTGGTTTTCCTTGGGAATCCTTCAACCATGGATTACAAAATAACGGTTGCCTGAGTACTTCCTCCTTCGTCTTTGGTTGTCTTACTCTTGCAGGAAAGATTTATGTCCATATCTTAAGAATTTGGGCCCAATACGAATTCCTGATCATCCCATCTTCCCCCCCCCGCATTCCTTCTCTTCCCCTTTTGGCCCATCCTTTACAAAAAAAACAAAACATTCCTTCCATCTTAGGTGGAGTTTTATACTTAGCCATCCCCCGTATATGGTCTAATACCAGCAGAACCTACCAAAGATGGGGTTGTGTCAATAATTTGATAACCCATTTAGTTTGGAGTGCTTTGATCTACTGTCCCGGGTCGAGGATGCCCAATTCCCCCCGATCCTTTTTCCCAATAACCTGTTTCCATGCTACCTTAGAAATGTAATTCGTCTTAGTAGGGTTCGCTGTCCAGAGATAAGCTGCCGCCTCCCTCCTCAGCTTGTTTAATGATTAAATGGGAGGTGTGACAGGTGTCCATATTGTTCCTACTTACCATAACATGGAGAAGATAGAAGCATTTAATACTAATGCTCTCCCAAATAGTGACGTATACGTTTCTGACCATAATAACATCTTAGCTAACATTTTTGTCATCTGCTCTTGTGCCATCGAGTGGTGAGGACCCGTATCTGCTAGCCTAATCCCCAAATATCTCAGTGGTTGATCCGATGACACCCATGCCATTCCCTCATAATTCGGTGGATGAGCTTGAATTTGATGGTCTACATCTGATAACCACCACCCCACCGGTTTAGGCCAATTAATTTTCATTTCCGATGCCAGCTGAAAAGCAGCCATCGCTCTCGTGAGGGCTTGGAAAGAGGAGTTTGTAGCCTAATTAAGACCGTCAAATCATCTGCAAATAGTATTGTTGTAGGCAGATGTATGACACGACCCTGTTGATCCGGTTCCATTATCAGACGATCTGTCGATGGGTCTTTCCTACGAAACGAAGCAATGGCCTCCATTATAAACAAGAAAATAGGGGCCGCCAGCGGGTCCCCTTGTCTAACCGATCTACTCATTTTATATCTTCCTGATAAATGACCATTGACTTGTACCTGAACATGTGCGTCATTGTACAACACCCGAATCCATTTGCGGAAGTTCGGCCCCACTCCCATCTTCTCCATGCATTGTTGCAGAAAATTCCAATTAACCTGATTGTATGCCTTCTCAAAATAAAAAAAGAGAATTGTTGCGTTGATCCTCTTGTCCATAATATATCTGACCGATTCCGATAAGGTCATAACATTATCCAATATAAATCTTCCCTGAATAAAACCTGTTTGATCTAGATGAAAAACTCTGTCTGTAATCCTTCTCAAACGATTAGCCAGGGCTTTGGCTACTATCTTATGGGTAAGAGTTAGAAGTGTAATCGGTCTATAGTTTCTGATATCCTTGGGGTCACCCTTTTTATATTGAAGAGTGACAACTCCTGTGGCCAATTCCACCCCCAGACCTTCTTTTTGCCAAGCGTGATTAAGAAAGGCTTCGTATTCCCCTCCCAAGATGGGCCAAAACTCCAGCCAGAATTCTTTTGTAAGTCCATCCCTGCCTGGAGTCTTGTTAGGAGGCATACACTGCAATGCCTCCCTTAACTCTTCCTGAGTCAATGGAGCATCCAACATTTCAGCTTGTTCTCCCTTTATTGTACACTTCCCATTTCTAAATGGAAAACAAAATGGATTTCTTGCCCTTAAGTAAAAGCTGCCTGCCGTTTCATACTATTTGTGGCATTTCTTGCTGACATCATTCCAGTCTGTGAGCATGAGAATTGATGAAATGCAAGGCTACAGTTGTCCCACATTGGCCATCCAGTCAGGATTGGTGGGACATGAGGGCATTTCGATGGTATGAATGAGGATGCGATGGGATGGGATGGGCCTATATAATTAAATAGGATGGGATGGAACACGTCGGGATGAGATGGCTTGGGATGGAAGAAAGGGGAGGCATGGGGGGATGCATGGGTGGAACGGATGGGGTGTATGAGTGGATGAGTGGATGAGTGGATGAGTGGATGGATGGATGGATGGATGGATGGATGGATGGGCGGATGGGCTGATAGATGGGTGGAGAGATGGGTGGATGGAGGTGGATGGATGGATGGATGGATGGATGGATGGATGGATGGGTGGAGAGATGGGTGGATGGATGGGTGGATGGAGGGAGGGATGAGATGGATGGGTGGATAGACGTATGGATGGATGGATGGATGGATGGATGGATGGATGGATGGAAGGGTGGACGGGTGGATGGATGGGATGGATGGGATGGATGGGATGGATGGGATGGATGAGCGGCTGGATGGGAAAGGCACAGCATGGGCTTGGTTATCAGTCTGAGTGCCCTGTTGCAGGAGTAGGATCCTCAGTGGGCACCAGGACAATGCACATCAGAGGAGTGTTGTCAGGCATCTAACGGAGCCCGTCGGGTTCCTCCTAACATTGAAGGGCACTTTACATGCGCACTGCCATTTAACATGATATCATTTTGTGCCTCGATTGTTTTGTCATGGAGACAGTGGACTGCAGGTCATGTCCGCTATGAGACACAATGGTGCAACGACCTTTGCAGTCCCAGAACTTTGTGTTTTCTGAGAGAAGGCTGACTTTTGCTGAGTTTTATTATGATCTCTGTGTCTGCTGTGTTTTGGCTTGCCCGTATTGAAAGTTCATGCCTTTGGGTGTGCATGCATGTTGTTTGGGGTGCTGTGCTACTAACCTTGTGCCAACGTAATGTTCCAGGTCTCGGCTAGGATCTACCTGTAGCTGTGCATCTGCGGATGGAGCGCAAAGGACAGGGATGAAAGCCAAAACTTTGGTAGGCCGGGAGCATTTTCCAGCAATCCCGGTAGGCCCTTATGTCTGGTAGACCTAGGGCCTTCCACCATGATTATGGTGCTAGACATACCTGGCCTGGGCAAGTAGTATATACGTCGAGGCTAGGGTAGGGTAGCAGACTGAAGTGGGATAGCAGATTTCCCGCCAAAAAACAGTACACAGCAGGGCATAGGAGTGGCCAGATAGGTTACCAGGGAGGGGCGAGGAAGTAGGCTGGAGGCTGGAGCGGCTACCAGCCCAGCGAAATAAGACTAGGCACTGTACTTGAATCCACCATATCACTTGCTGCGTGAACCAGCAGTCGCTACACTGGTCCACCAGGTGGGGAAAAGGAGCAGAGAAGTCAGGTGGACTAGTTGAGGAGGAAGAGGGCCCCATAGCCATGGAGGAGGCCTGAAAAGAGAGAGGGTGAAGGTACACTACAGTGGCTATATTTGGAGCCCATAGTAGGGCTACTTGGGGTAGCAGAAGAGGAGGGGGAATTCAGCGAACATCTAGGAGGGAGAAGGCGGAGGGTTATATAGGAGGAAGAATCACCTCGGGCTATGGCGGACTTCAGCATCTGTTTATGGTGCTTCATCATGGTTGGCTGTTGATGCCTAAGAGGAGAAGATCTTTATCTGGGTGCATGGCACTGATCTAATCAGAGAGGAGGAGGTGTTTTCTCCTCTGCTGTTACCTTCCTATCACGCCCACAAGTGTAGTTGCACTTCAGAGATGGAATGTGAAGTGGAAAGCTAGTGTTTCTTGCTACTAATGCTGGGGCAATCTTTTGAGCATTGAGTGATAAGGTGTGAGGTGGAGCATGAGGGTGATGGATCGATTTAGTAAGATGAGGGACATGATATTCTACACAATGGTTATTGTTTGGAGCTATCCTCCTCATGTTCTAGTAGTCTCTTCCTGTGCCTACATTCTGGACTAACTTCGTTTGAGTTGCTGTTGATCCTTGTGCAGTCCGAGTTCCTGCATGGTTTGGAAATTGTGAGCTTCTTGGATTGCGTTCTCTACACCCTTTCCTTGCTTGGTTTCGACGTGTGACCCCCTTTTCTTGCTCGGTTTCGACGTGCGACACCCTTTTCTTGCTCGGTTTCGACATGTGATACCCTTTTCTTGCTCGGTTTCGATGTGTGACATGAGATGGTATACCTCAGTGGTTTCTTGCACATTTATGGCTCGTGTCCTGGGAGATTTGCCATTCTGCCCTTCATCATCTCTATCAAATGACACTCTTTCCCCGCCCTTCCCGTTTGGCGGACACTTGAAATTCACATCACTTTGCCAAAAATTAGCTGAAAGAGTGGAACTGATTCTTGTTCGCATTCGCCCTGTCACAGGAGGAAATTTTCGGTCCAGTTCTGCTACTTATGAAGGTATGTGTATGATATGTGGCGGACGCCCCACCTCGTCTTTGTAAGGAAAGGGGCGCAGAAAGAAAGTTGAGGTCTGTTTTTTTTTTTTTTTTTTTTTTTTTTTTTCAAATAGCATGCTTTATTATATATATTGAGCAAAAGGAGGCCGGGAATCCCTCCACATCTCAACCCGGAAGACTGGGGCCATTACCCAGATTTGGCTCTTACTGGAACCCAGGTCCAGTGTCCCTTTCTCCTATGAAGCTTCATGCTATTTCTGAGTCAAAGAATAAAACTGGATTAACAAAGGACAAAATAGCAAAAGATGAAAGAACCTGCCTACTATCTTTCCATCCATCCCCAACTTAAGCCCTAAAACCGACCGCTGTGATCCATCTTTCCCATTGCCCCCGACACCTCCTCCTTTCTGTATTGCTGCAGATCATCATAACTGAATTGCATTTTTCTCTGTCTTTCCCCCTTCTTCTTTTTTTTTTGTGGGGTCGGGCCCCTCACTACCAGTTCAGCCGAAGCCAAGTCGGCCACGATGCTCGTGCGACAATGCGTCAATCTGTCTTGCCCCCTTCTTTTCTCTCGCTTCTCAAGTTTTTCCCTGGGCAGAAGCCTCGTTCTATTCAATTGYGGTGATCCCAGGTCATTTTCTATCAGCAGGCCAAAGGAACTAGAGTATAAAAAATCAGACTGAATACATGATAAGTCAGATAAAACTTCATAAAAGTTATTAATTTGATAAATTGCTGCAGTGGGGGGACTGAGATGAGTAGCGAATGGGATGGCGTTTTTAGCAGTCGTCAGAAATGCAAAGATATGGTTATCATGTGCGCCTACACTTGTGTTAAAGCAATGGAGGAACATTTTGGGGTAAGGAAATTTTTGAGGTTGAATGGAGATCAAACGCAAAAGTCCTAGCTTTTCGCAAGTTGGAGTAGAGGAAAAGAGGTCTTCATGGTATCGGGAGGTGGGACAGAAAAGGGAGATGCAGTCGGGCCTATGTTATACGAAGGAATAAGGATAAATGTAGCTATAGACGGATAAGCCTCTCTTTCTCAGAACCCTCAAAGCAAGCAACTGGTTGTGTGGCGAGAGCGTCGAACCATTTTAAAAGGGCCTTTACCCGATTCAGGCCCTGCTAGGCAAATGCAGCATAGAGGGGTCACTCGCCAGGGCCCCACTCGTGAAAGCAGATCAAAGGACATGTTCTCTGGGTCAAAAGTCACACCCTAAGTTAAACCAAAAGCCAATGTCAAGGGTCACAGTTGTGCCCCTGAACGAACAGTTGCAATGTTTAGATTTGGAGGTCACATCTGTTCGTCCAGAGGGTGTGTAGGTCATGTCTGTTCAGATAAGAGATGTGTCTGTACGTGCAATATGTGTGTCTGTTCGTACAGTATGAGTGTCTGTTCGTGCAAAATGTGTGTCTGTCCAAAAGGAAGTCAAAGGGCAGGTTTCCAGTTTTGTCTAAGTCTAATAGGGGGTCTAGATTCAGACATCCAGTCCGAAATCCAGGCCAGATGGCCGCAGCAGCAGCAGACCCTGAGGGGAAAATACTGGGACACACACATATGCATGGGTCTGGGACTGAGGAAGGCCCGAAGTGCCAATACAGGCCAATGCAGACCTCGCCAGGGGAGGCCAGCAGTATAAAGCAATAGGCCAGCCTCCCTTGACATCAGATTCCCCCTGGCATATTGGCGTGGAAGTGCTGCATGCACTTATGCGCTGGCTGGCTGGGTTAGCGCTGGAGGAGAAGCTGCGCTGAGAGGAGGAAGAGAGCTGGGTGCTGGCTTGCAAGTGGCAGCCATATCTGCGCCAGCTAGTTAGTATAGGTAGTGGGTTAGTGGTTAGTCTACAGTGAGTAGCATTCAAAGTAGATCTTCATAGTAGGAGTGTGCATGTATGGTGGGACTAGAGAATCAAGACTGAGATCCAAGGGAGAGAAGAGAGAGAGAGTGGGGTGGGATCTGGCTATGATGGATACTTACCTGCTGTGCGCTGTACTTGAGTTCTGAAGGTGGCGCTGGCTGAGCCAGGCCCCATTCGTGAGACAGAAGGAAGAAACTCATGATAATGTTGGGCAATGAACTTTGGATCTCGATATATTCTTGAATGTGTTAATGATTAATTGAGCTGCGCATCTTGGTTCCATCGCATCTCATTTGGACTATGCGTGATCTTCATGTTGTGTGAGTCATTGTCCATGCATGCATTCTGATACACTCCAGCAAGAGGAGGACAGTCAGGTCCCTTGCAATTAAAAAAAAAAAAAAGAAGAAAAAAAAGAATATGGATCGCATGCTCGCGTCCCAAACCAAGGCAGTCACACACAAGGCTGTCAAATCCTGCACAAATATGACGTTCGCTTCTTGCTCTGTTTTTGCAGGCGGACAGCCTGGATGATGCACTCGCTATTGTAAATCGTAACAGGTAGGCTTCCTTTTTTTTTTTTTTTTTTTTTTGTGCACCTGTTGACTTTTTTTTTTTTTTTTTTTGGCAAAACAAGCTCCAATCTATTCGGGGGGAGCAGCACGTGCTGATAGGCTGAGAAGCCACCAGTGATGGAAATTGGGCCCAACTCGCTATCGTAAATTGTAACAAGTAGGCTTCCAGAATCCAGATATGTTTTTCAGAGATTTCCTTGCCAGTAGTCATTTATGTTTTATTATTAGTATTTATTACTTATATAAAGTTATATTAATATCAATTTACATTCTAGGTGGGATGTTGGCAAAAAAGTTGTGGGGTGACTGTAGAATGTATAGGGCACCAAGTCATCCAGGAAGGGCGCGATGTGACGTGGTCATAAATGTGAAGCCGGGGGGTCACCAGGCTGGTGCGCGTTCCAACGATGGACCAACGTATGATGATACAAGCAGGCACAAACCTGCTTGCTCTATTTCTCCATCTCTTCTCCCATTCTTTTCTGCTACTCTTCCTCTACCTCTCTGACTGTGATCGACTTCAATGCATGTGAAAGGATAGTGTTCATACTTGCAAGTGCATGCTGGCATGTGATCTTGTGTGTGTGGAACACAGCCGCACCTCATTCACATTGGGGAATTAGCCCCCCTGACCGGCTGTTGTGGCAGTACACCCATGCCCCCTGGAAAGCATGCTTGGGGGGGGGAGGAACGGGGCAATCAGCAGCTCAACACATATTGCTTCCAGTGCCTCCATGGACATCATTCTTAGCTCGTTATCCCTGCCTGCATCTCCTCCAGCGCCTCCCTTGATCTTGTCCTCAACACCCATCGCCTCCATTGCCTATTGCCTCCCCTCCTCTTCCTCTTCTTCTTTTCTCTTTTTCTTTTTGAAGGTGTGTGTGTGTAATGGCACCAATATAAAATTGGCAGTGACACAACATGCATGAGCATGGACTCAGCATGACAAAAAAGAGAGAGAGAGAGAGAGAGAGAGAGAGAGAGAGAGAGAGAGAGAGAGAGAGAGAGAGAGAGAGAGAGAGAGAGAGAGAGAGAGAGAGAGAGACTCCCCCTCTGTGACCCCGCTTCAACTTCTGCCATTGACTCTCCACCACTCCCCTTGATGAGAAGCTTCCCCTGTCGCTCCTCAGCATTCACCAGACCACCCAATTTGTTTCCCATCTGCTCCCTTCTATTCGTGACTGGATCTTGACCACCCCCCTCACTCCCCACCGTCTCCCTCCCCTTCTCTTCCCCTTGCTCCCCGATTACCCCTAGATCTCCCCATCCACTTTCCCACCACTCTGCCTTGTTCCCAGATGTCGCATGCCTATAGATGACAGACAGGCATGGCGCAGAACCCTAAGATCGAAAAAAAGAAATGGCAATAACAAAGCAGCGGAAGACTGAGATACACAGATCTGTCTCATCAGACTCAGTACGACCTGCATACACCCACCATGACACACATACAATGGGCATGGTGGCTCACGCATGGAAGATAGCCGCCATGCCTACAATGTATCCAAAGACGAAGGAGGTGGAGGAAGAGACGAGGTGGGCAGAAGAAGAGGAAGCTGTCATCTCAATAGCCCTGCAAATGGATAGTCTCCAACAATAACCCCCCAAAGTCTCTGTGCGTATACAATGTCCAAGTCTGGGCAATCGCCCGAATGTCACCAAGTCTAAACTCTCTCTCTCTCTCTCTCTCTCTCTCTCTCTCTCTCTCTCTCTCTCTCTCTCTCTCTCTCTCTCTCTCTCTCACTCTCACTTAGGGGAAGAAACAGCAGAGGGAGGTGTAGGGGGGGTAGACGAAGAAGAAGAAAAAGTCTCCTCTCAGTCCCTCTCTCTCTCATGACCAGCAACTGACCAACGTGAAGAGGTCTTGAGTTGTGATGCAGGTGGAGCGGCCTGAAGACGATCCTGCAGCAGTGGTGCCCACGGTGAGTTGACAGGTAGGTCTCCACTCGCTTGGCCTCCACCCTGATACTTCCTAACTCCGCTATCTCTAGCCTAGCACTCCAGCACTCTAACGCTGCTCCAGCAGTGTAGTCAGTCACTCAACTCCCGAATGCTGTGTGCGAGAAATGAGGGTCGGGTCAGCTATGTATAGTGGTGGGCCTACTGGATACTGCTCCAGTCTGCATCCTGGGCCATCCGGTCGTAATGCCGATCGACGGTCCAGGATGCAGGCCCAAATCGTGGTCCTGAGTCCTGGTCTCAAAACGGCCTGCCTGGGTCCCAACCGGACGTCCAGGCTCCTCTGCTGAGCCAGCAGAGGTGCCCTCACAAGAGGATGAGACAGGGCCTGGACCCAAAACGTGGTTCAGCCCCAAACGAATTGCAAATGGCTGCTGGGCCTGAAACGACCCCCCTGGTCCAGAGGACTACCAGTGTGGACAAGAATGTTGAAACGACACATCCAGACCGGACAAACCTGAAGCATACAAATGAACACATAACAGACAAATGACTCGGAGCAACAGCGCAAAAGAACTCAGAATCACAGATTAGAGCACTGCAAACCAAAGGGACCCTCCCAAGTCCACTTCATCTCAAAGGTAGCATGGAAGTATGTCATCTTGAAGAAAACCCAGGGTGGGCTAGGGGTCCTCCCCAGAAATGCAGGTGCACTGCAAACCAAATGGATCCTCAATATAATAACAAACAACAACCTACCATGGATTGAACTTGGACTGCACAGGACACAACAGGTAGCCCAGTTTAACACCCCGGACAACATGTGAGGGCTCTTTTGGGTCATGGGCAAACCCTGGGCAATGAAAGGTATGGTCAAAGAAATGGGGCAAGAGGAGCAGGATGGAGATCAGAAGGATAACTTTTGATGTCATCTTCTAAAAACATGGAGGGAAATCTTGCCAGCCAAAGTGACGGAACCTACAATAAAGGAAGAGGCACTCAGACAACCACTCTTTTTTGTAATCGATGTCTTCGGGACATGCAAGGAAAACACTGGACATTAACGGCGAAGGACTCAACATTGGGTACATGGGTAAAGAAAGGAGTGTGGCAGGTCAAACACCTATATAGCACGACGAAGAAAGGAGATGGAAGGCGGTAGAGGAATTGACTCAATTGAGGGAAAATATGAAAGGATGCCACAACCTACCAGAGAACCTGAACAATATCCTTATCTAAGTCCCGGAGAACTGGCTGGAATTACTTAAGAGGCCTTATCAAATGGAAAGCAGGGGAAATGGGCAACAAGAACGACGGACACCCCTCCCCCCCACTGGGACTTACCTGTTCCGCTCAAGAGAGGGGCCCAGAAACAACTGGTTCATCTGCAATATGTACTTGATCAGCGACCCAGGGACACCTGCAAGCCTCCCAAACGGAAATCCATCGGGAGCTGCCAGAGCAGGCACTGAGGAAAGTAAGGGTGGTTGAAATGGGAGAACGACGAATCTAGAATCCTCTTAGCTTACTTAGACCTGGAACTCGATCCAGCTGAATGGGCATGGAAGCTGAGAACAGGAAGACTCAAAATAGGAAAACGTACTAACATTCTAGAATACACTACCAAGCTAGGATACACAAGGATGAGATCATACCATATATAGCTCAAATCATTAGCCAAAGATGGGAAGCAGAACTCAACCAACCACCAAACCACACCCGCATCACGTCATGGAGCAGAATTCTTACCAGCACCTCCTTCGAAATAAGGAGTTTCCAATGGCAACTCGCCCACTTAGCCCTGCCAGGTAATAAGTGGCTGAATAAGAGACGCAGCGCACAGTCACGATCTCCCTTGCAAGAGCTCTGCGCGATTTGTCAAGAGGGCCTGGTGGAGGACGTAGATCACTGCCTATTGGGCTGTCAAAAAGCAAAACAGCTCTGGACTAACGCGGTCGAGCTATGGCACTCGATAGCTGACAAACCACACCAACAGATCAGGTCCCCCTCCTACTACCTTCTTCACCCGAATACACAATGTACGGTCATTATAGCTGTATTTGAGGTATCTTTCAGACTAAATACAGCAATAGTGACCATACATTGTATTCGGGTGAAGAACGTAGGACTGCACACGCTCCCCACATGGCAAGACTTCGAGACTACATTCTTCCACGCTCTGAGACTAGCGACATAATGGATCATGGGATGACCCAACCAAACATGGACTGAAACACACGGCTGATTTCTGAGTTTTGCTCATGGACTGAATGCCTTGCTGAGTTTTCCGCTTGCTACTAAGTCTGTGTGTGTGCACGCTTTCTGGACTGCATGTCTGTCTGAGTGCTGGTTGGCTCGAGTGTGTGTGTGGCCCGTAAGGGCACGTGTTCGTTCGTTGGGCCCTCAGGGCCGGTACTTACCGTGGCCGTGGCATTGAGGATTGCAGCAGGGGGGAAAACACTCAAGTGGCGGGGGAAAGAGGCCCGCAGCACTTAAAGCAGAGGGGAAACACTCAAGTAGCAGGTAGGCCGGTACCACACCCTGAAGTGGTAGATGCGCCGGGTACTGGAGGCCGAGCAGTAGAAGACAAAAGTGGCATTTTTAGAGGCCCAGTAGTTGTAGGCTAGGTCTAGGCGGGTAACAGTCTGAGTCTAGCGCCTGTATGGGCAATATCAGAGTCTGCAATGATGTTTCCCTCCGAAAGGGAGGAGGTACCGGTTGCTTGGGAGGCCGAGCGGCCTGGAAGTCACCGCCCGGGAGGCAAGCAGGCCGCTATATCTCCAGGCCGGGCTAAGAGCCCAGCCTCATTGTCAGTGTGCAAGTTTGGCGACACACTGGTTGGAGCGCTGGCTGGAGCAGCGCTAGCTTGGAGCAGCGCTGCTGGGGAAGAAGCAAGGACTCAAAGGAGGAAGAAGGACAGGAAGGGGGAGGAGCGCCAGAGGTACTTACCTGGCTATGGTGGCAGCCATCTTCATCACCTTGGTGGGCATCGCAGCAGGAAGACCCCAGCTGGGGTTGAGCTACACCAAGAAGCTTCGAGGCAGGGTCAGGCATGGCGGCCTGAGCTAGAGCAGCAATAGCTGCTTTGGGTTGTCCTTTGGGCATCTGGGCAAGTCCTAGTAGTCTGCCATAGCCTCGCCCTATGAGAGTGAAGAGTGGGAGAGGCGGCCATGGCTATGGTGGACCTCCAGTGATACCTGCAGTAGAAGAGGGATTCAG